AAAATAACTTCACACAATATATTTAATATTAATAACAAATGAAGGTGGTTTTAGCAAAAATTTACTGAGTTGTCACAATCCCTAGCCTCTTCTGGAGGCACTGAAAATATAAGATTTCTGCCCTCAAAGCATTCATATAGAGCCATAAGGAAATCTGGACATGTAACAGTAGATAATTGTAAGTGCGGGATAATTGGATAGGAATGACAATGGCATTGCCAAGCAGAGGGAGCCTAAAAGCAAAGACACAGAGACATGGCAAACTATGCTGTGTTGTGGGAGCTATGTGTTACTCGGCACATCTCAGCATATTATTAAACTTCTGAAAGCCTTTCTACCAGTTTCCATTGTTGTCAAAATGAAGTATAAATAAAATACATGAGTGCCTATCCCTTACCCATCTCTCTCTGCCCAATTTTGATCCCATTTTTAGTCATACAAATTTTGTGGGTTTTTTTTTATTGCTCTGTAAATTTCCATGTTTCTCCCTCTCTATAATGCCCAATGCATCTTATATCTAAGTACATCTTGCATCTTAAGATTCTGTCACTGTAGAAGACCCTGGGAAGTCTCTCTAACCTCTTATGTTTATTTTATTATGAAATCTTTGCTTCCTATAGAATCCACTGTGAACTTCCAAAATAGTAAAATAGAACCAATTAACATTGAACTAAAAATATAGCTTGTCTAACACAATTTTGCTGGTAGACAAAGTAAAAAAGAAGGTAATTTCTCTGTTTTAAATCTACTGAAGAAAACAATATAAACACTATAACCTTCACTTTAGAAGCAAGGTAGAAATGTAGAATTATGACTAACCATCTTGCAGGATATGTTGACACATATAATAGAAAGTTACAATCCTCTAATGCATTTTATTACTGAGTATTATTGTCATATAAAAAATGACTTTTTATCATTTTAAGTTAACCATTTGTAGGCTTAAATATCTTAAGTCTACCCAACTGCTTATTCATATTTTATTTGGTCTTAGAAAACAGTAGTGCTATGGATGATGCTTCATTCATTATATAAATGATTATTAAGTCTTGAAATAACTTCTGAATTACTGCAAGATGACATCCATCATTATAAACTAAGGATGTTTTATACTCACACAGAAACACACAGCAGATAAGTAAAAATTCCTCTAGTTTACTCCCCAAATTTGTTCTTGTGAAATACAGAGAGAAAAGACAGATTTTGAGTTCAGGAGCCTTGCCTTTTAGTTTATCTGCTTTTGCTAATTAACTTTATAACTTGAATTCAGTCACTTAATCTTTTTTACTTTCTAATCCTCTCTCATAAAATGAGAGCGTTAAATTCATGAGTTTCAAAGGTCTTTCAAAAATCTTAAGATTATCTAAGAAAGTGGATCATGTGCCTTGTTCTACTTTGACCTTCATTGCTATATGAGAAAGAGAAAAACTTTACAGTTTTCATTTTTAGAAATATTCATCCACATTTTATGGGCTACATTATAAAAATAAAATTTGTATTATACAGATGCTCAGTTTTATGCATTGAATAGTAGCTCTAAAAAGTACATATAAAATGTTCACATAAAATGTTATTTAGTGACTGCCCTGTTTTAATATGTACTTAGCTGATGCTATTGAGTTATTACTGCATATTAATGCATTATTGATACCATGTTATTGTAAATCCTAACATTATCTAGTTTTAGGAAAGCTAACTCTTGACACTGTGCTGACATTAGAGATAAAAAGGAGATAGCTGCCAAAACTGGTTTGGCTCAGTGGATAGAGCATCTGCCTGAGGACTGAAAGGTCCCGGGTTCGATTCCGGTCAAGGGCATGTGCCTTGGTTGCGGGCGCATCTCCGGTGGGGGTTGTGCAAGAGGCAGCCGATCGATGATTCTCTCTCATCAATGTTTCTAACTCTCTATCCTTTTCTCTTCCTCTCTGTAAAAAATCAATAAAATATATATTTTTAAAAAAAAGGATATAGCATTTTACAAAGCAAGAACTCAAATAGGTCAATGCTTATTTAAACATATGGTAGGGAAGTGCCAGTATTTCACAGATGAAAATTGCAAGACCTTGAAAAATGCTAGACTTGGAAATATGATCTTCCTTAAATAACTCTAAGATCAAAGTCTAAAGGGATAAAAATGTAATGAGTTCTTCTTGTATTTGAATTATCATGGAAAGAAGGAGCGGAAGAAAAGGGAGGAAAGGGAGGAAAGGCAGATGAAGGTGACAGTACTATTGGACCACAGAGGTTCTCTGTTCTAGGATCTAAGGTCTTTGTATTTTGCATTGTTTAGTTTCTTCTCTATGGCAAGTCACATCATCTGAGTTGGAGGTCCTTGTTATAGTATTGATAATGTAAAGAGTTTGGCCCTCCAATGGGGAAAGCTGTCAAAGGGGGAAGAAGGAAATACACAAAGTATAGTAAGGTTAATGAAGGATATACTTTCACAAAGTGGAAAGAGATTCATATTCTCTTGTAAAGTATTCCAGATCAGTAAGCCAAAGTTTTAAAGCAGGAAGTAAGCTTTGAATTTGGAGTACAAGTGAGTTCTACTTTTTTTTTTTTTTTAATTTTATTTCTAAAAGGAATCTTTTCACCTCTAGGGTTATTGAGGAGAGCTTAGGTCAGTTTGTAGAGAAAACCTTGGGCTACTAATTTAAAAAGCTGTTGAGCCTGCTTGTTTTCCTTGCCAAGAGCTTCTGGAGCATTGGTTTCCAAAACTGAGTGTGTGGGGAGAGCCTTGTGTTTCTATGGAAAATGTAGATTCTTACGCCCCACACCACGTGATTTTCATCCAAAAGGTCCAATCCCTAAGACTCATCACATTCTTATTTTGGGGAGTGGAGAGGGGATGCCAGGCCTGTAGGCATTTAATTTAAAAAAGTGAAAGAATGCAATTAAAACCTCTAAACTATGATGACTAAGGTAAGTGCAAGCTTATTTACCCCATTCCATAAAGTTCAGTTTGAAAGCTTGTATTGAAAATTTATCCATAATAACTGATAAATATGTTTTACAGGTATTATATATACATATATAAACATATGCATGTATATACACAAGTGAACACACAAATATAAACGTATAATCTTATATAATCCTTACGCTAACCCTAGATATTATTTTTCATTTCAAAGGCTTGGTTGTTAAAATATTTTGAAGTGAAATGAAATTAGAATTTGATTAAAATGATAAAATCAGAGGCAAAATTTAATACAGATATTTTAACTAATTATAAAAATCTAAAAGATTTTAAGTTTAATTTAAAATGTGATTGCTTTATATTGCAGTAAACATAAGTACAGTGTTTTTTTAAAGTCGCTGCAGTTTTTGGAAAATGTTTAATATTCTATAGATATGTAGACACTATTTAGATTTATACATAATATACTTTGACAAGCTATAAAAAACATATTTAGTGCCTATGACCTAAAAGCTTGTCAAAAAGTAGACTATCTCTATAGAAAAGCCCAAGCAAACATTAGTGTGCAATGATTGGAGCAACCAAAATGGCTGGTCGCTATGAGGCACACTGAACATGCAGGCAAGTGAGTAGTTAGGAGTGAGCAGACAGGCGAGTGGTTAGGGGCGAGCAGGCAGGCAGGAGAATGATTAGGGGCAAGCGGTTCCAGATTGAGAGAGGGATATCCTACTGCCGGATGTCCAACTGCAGGGATTGGGCCTAAACCGGGACTCTAGTTTTATTATAATAATCTTTGGGGGGCAAATGTCCTGGTTACCATATCTTTTAATTGAAGCATTAAATAAATAGAGCTTTGATCTGATTTTTAAAAATTCTAGACTCCAAAATAAAAATTATAATATATGTGTTTTGAACAACAATTCGTGTTATTGTTACAATAAGTTTAAAACGTACAACTCAAGCAGTCCTGGAGTTCTTCAACATAGGAGACTAGTTTTGTAAATTGCCATGTCTCATTAATACACTTTAGCCAGTGTTTCATCTGAACAGATCTTGAACAACTTGCTTCTTTAGCTTTTACTGTGTTAAGAAATCTAAGTGCTGTCAATAGTATTGATCCTGCCGGGACTGGTTTGGCTCAGTGGATAGAGCGTCGGCCTGCAGATTGAAGGGTCCCGGGTTCGATTCCGGTCAAGGGCATGTACCTTGGTTGCAGGCACATCCCCAGTGGGGGGAGTGCAAGAGGCAGCTGATCGATGATTCTCTCTCATCGATGTTTCTAACTCTCTGTCCCTCTCAATTCCTCTCTGTGTAAAAATCAATAAATAAAAATATATTTTAAAAAAGTAAATTAAAAAAAAGTATTGATCCTGTCAATTTAATATTTTTGTTCTTATAATAATAGATTATCTTCTTATCCTCCAAAAATTCCTCATCAATGGAACACTTTAATGAAATATAATTTTTAACTGTTCGTATTATACTCCTCAAAGATGTAAAATGTTATTGTGTTTGCAACTTTTTTTCTACAACGATCACTGTATGATCCTGAATTTTGACAAGCATTTACATTTACATTAATCCATTGATGTCAGCAACCAAACTAATAAAAACTCAGCCCCTATTTTGTTTTTTGTGTTATTTTAATCAATACATCCTTTCCTGGTTTAATAGGAAGTGAGCCCTAAGGACAACTCATATTAGCAGATATTTACAGAATGTGTTTTTGCTATTAAAGAGGCATTACAAAATAATGTCAGAGGTTAAAGCAATATCATTTATTGGCCTCCTTTGGGCCACTATTTCATTTTAATTCACACTATCAATATAAGTAGGGGGGATGGAACAGTACGTGAGGAATTACCTTTATCTTAAGATAATTTCATTAAAAAAAAAACAAAAAACTTTACATTTTGGTGATAGCTTTTATTACCCTGCCCTTTGATTCTGAATTATATCTTTATTTTCTAAAAAAATTCCCAATTTTCTTTCTCGTAAACCCAACAACAGAATACGAGATGTAGTCTGTCATTAAATGTGTAGGATTTTACCTATCTCGCTGGCTTCGCTTTCTCTGCAGGCACTCCATCTGCACCGTGTACATTGAAGTGCTCCCTCCAAACAATCAAAGCCCTCCCCGCTTCCCGCAGATGATGTACAGCCTAGAAGTCAGTGAAGCCATGAGGATTGGTGCTGTTTTATTAAATCTACAGGTATGTGCTTGAAGCGACAACCTTGAAGACTAATGGGCTTATATTTGTGCCTGACGGGGTAAGAGCTCGCATATCTGCATACACTTGAGTCGATGAAAATTCCATCTGGAAAGGAAAGCAGGGGTACTATAGATGGAGGGTTTCCACAGTTAATCTATGCTATTGATTGCCACAATTGAGGAACTAATGTGAGCTGGCAGGGATTAGCTGCAATCATTACAAGAGAGAATGAAGGGAGTGGAAACAGGCACTTGAATATTTTGTACGTTGCATCCAAAGAGTCTGCAGCTGACTGTTATTTTCTGTCTTGGCTATCTCTGCCCTAGCAGGATTCATTTTTACTGCAGTGTTATATGGAGAGGATAACTTTACATGCACAGGCTGATGGTAGGCAGTCCCAATTCTGAGGCACACTTCATTCTATGGCCATGGGCAAATCATGTAATTGCTGTGCCTTGGTTTATTTAGATGAAGGCGGAAGGTTTAGCTGATATTTTTATTTGCAGCTTCTGGTTCATGGGCCTATGGATTACTTGCAGGATGATAATTTGGTTTTCACTTTGTGTATCTTCCTAATTAAAACATACTTGGCCAGAGAAGGCTGTGTCTTCAACTGAATCGATAGCTTCAGTTGGACTACATATGGTGTTGGTAACTGTCACTTGTTGTAAAAGCCATAGGGGCCATGACATGACATACTGCTTTACCTATGAAGTTCATAGGACAGATAATTTATCTTCCTCTGGAGTTATGTGGAAATGATGGGAGTTGCTGACATGAGAATTCAGGAAGCTGACCTTGAAGATTAGGAGAGCTTTCAATAGGATGATGATTTAGGAAAATCCCAGGATCAATGATTACCATCAGATAAAGTTGACATAGGCATAGCTATAAATTGTTTAAATTCCATTTGAATATTAACATCATTTCACTGATGATGGAAAAGTGAAGGTTCTAAAGGATGTTTGTATTGGAAAGAATGTAAAAATAATGAAACACAGCAACCTCATTATCCAGATGTGGAAAATGAACTCCATAGAGAGTCATTGACACCGAAGAAGAGTTGATTGAATTCTAATCATTTCCAAAATAAGGCTTATTCCATTATATCCCATTTATTTTTGAGGCTGCTAAAAATTTGGTTGGCATTATCAAAGACTCCTCTGTGTCTCTGTTCTAGTACCTATTTTGTCTCTTTTCTCTAGTAACTAGATAGGGCTTTCTTGCTTTTGGTATTCAATCACTATTAAAACATGTATAAAACAAAATTATATGGAAGTAGACTTATTAGTAATATGGAAATTTGGAGGGTTTTAATGGCTAAAGTAAAAGAAAGGAAAAAAAAAACACACACCACAGTTTCTTCAGGGAAGGAAAACAGCTAATTAAGTCATTAAAATGTTAAAATATCCAAAACCAAATATTAAAACAAGTGTGTTTCTTTTATTTGCATATATGAAGATTTATTTATTTAAACAAGAAGTAAAGAATAATAAGTGTTAGATTTGTTAGAATCAGGCCAAGAAATTTGAAATGTCTTACATTGAAATACACCTTAAGAAGGTGGCTGTATGCTCTTTAACTTTGAATAAGATACTACATAGTTTTACTTGTGAGATAGCTCAGATTTCATTGCAATACATCCCAGAGAGATTTTGGAATCGTATTATTGGAGAATAATTCCACTTGGGAGTTAAAGATGAAAGGAGCTGGCCTTTTTAATATCTCAAATTCCTCCAGTACAAAAGCTGAGGAAATGGTTGTAATGACATTTCTATTCACCCTTTGTGCTTCCGATAGAAGCAAAAGAAAGGGTGCCAATCGCAGTGGCGTCTATAGAAAGAACTGTGGTGACACAATCAAAGTGTCTTTCCGAGGCCACTAGCCATCCACTTCTGCTAATGGTCAACTGACATTGAATTTAAACCAGAGACCTAAAAACCCAGAAGCTTCCATGAGATTACTCTCCCAAAGACTTCCAATATCTGAAGCATTAGAGGTCTTCCTAGCTGCCTCCCAATTTTTTTTTTTTTTTTTTACACATAGGTCCACTACCCCATGATGACTCACTGCTCTATTTCGGAAAACAGAATTGTGGGGAAATGTTTTCAAAGAGCAGACTGACTCCAAAATAATCTGTTTTGACTGAGATCAAAGGGGTTTCTTTCTAGATAACAATCTTTGTTTCTCCCCTCCCCCTTTTAAGTGTTTTCTTTGCATTTTATATAAAAGTTATTTGGCAGGCTGGAATTTTCCTCCGTGTAGTAAGGCTGTTTTGCCTGGCTCCTAGGTTGATGGTGTTCAATAGAGGACAGTGCTACCCAGGGCTCTTCTTTTTCAAAAATCTTCTCCTGACTGGAGTTAGCATTAGGTGAGATTCCACCCCCACCCCCACCATATTCCTGTATATTTCTGATCTGCTGCCAGGGAAACCAGTCAGGATGGTGTGAGTAAGCCAGACTGTGCACTTGTGATCACAAGAGCCTGTTGTGTGCATCGCTCTCCAACTCCATGCTCAGTGATATGGCATTGTTAGCTTGAAACCGGCCATGGTGGGTGCATTTATGTCACAGAGATGGACAAATGCGACAAATCAAATATCCCTACTCCAGAGCTAGCTGTTAAACTTTTACCAGCACACCCATGGATATGTTGCCAATTTCCCCAATATTGAAATTCTTACCATGAGTTAAGTCCAACAGCATTCTCCATCTTTGTCTGTCTGAAATTGTAATCTACTTTCATCACTCTAAAAATGAGCCAATCCTTTCAAATAGGTCTATGTGTTTTACTCAAATATAAGGTCTCAGCTGTCTTCTCACAAGATCATTTTTTCCTTCCAAATCACCCTTTTATTGACTCATATTTCACCATTAGCATAATCCTCCTTTCTTACATATGAAATCTTATATCATCAGCATCCTTATATAATAATAATAATATCTAATACTTGAGTAGCACACAATGAGCCAGGCACTGTTCAAGTACTTTGCTTATTTAATCAGTAAAGATAGCTAGGTTATATTTGCGCACACGCTCAATTTCAGAACTCAGTGATCTATAACTAAAAGACTTACATCTTACTCACTCTGTGTCCATTGCCGATCAATTCCAACTCTTTTCTTCATCACTGTCATTCCACTCAGAAGGATAGAGCAGGCTCTATCTGGGACATTATTGCTCTCTGACAGAGTGAAAAGCAAGGCACAACAAATCAGCTCTTACTGCTTCTTCCAGAAGTGACACAGGGCCCTTCTGCCTATGTTTCATTTGCCAAACCAAGTCATATGACTGCTCCTGGGCTAATCAGAGTAGGGATCTATAAGCCTTCATACTAATCACATGGCCAAGTCTGATGCCAAGATCTATGAGGTCCTTTTGTACATAGTTTCTGATGTAAGTCATTGCACACAGAAGATTTGCTAAATGATCCATCCCTGCCTCTCATGGTTTTCCATTTGTAAAACATTCATCACCTTTCAATGCACTAGATTTTAGGTGGTTCTTTCATCATTAGCATTATATCAAAAGAATAATGTCATTGTAAGTATGCATAAGAAAGTTGACATACATTGAACCAGTGTCAAAGTATAATTTCTATTTTGTATGAAGGATAGATGGATGGATAGATAGATAGATAGATAGATAGATAAATAGATAGACAGACAGAAAGAAGAGAGAGATACGTATCTTACAATTCCAAGCCTCTGCTCATTGCAAAAATTAAATAAAATTTGTAGCATACATTTTTCTTCTTTAGAGCAGATGCGCTATTATGTTTTAAGTTTCCATAAACAATTTTGGTGCCCTTGACATTAAGAGATGCACATTATCTAGGGATGATTTTTCATCTTCAGAAATATAAAGCTGAACGACGTGAGGAAAACATATTTTATGTATTTTCTATTCATATGTATACCTTCCTCTTCTCAAAGTATAACAGAGCCCCATGTAAATCTTTCGTAGACTACAGTGTGTTTACAGGAATAAAGGCAGGAAATATCAGGGAGGTTAGAGAAAGGAAAACCCTAAGTGTGATACATTTAAAACAGTCACTCCTAAATCATCTTTTCTTTGACCCTTGCTTTCTTAAGAAAGAAGTAAACATGATTTTAAAAATGTGCAATTTTGCCCCAGAACAGCTGTAGGCTATAACTCAAATGCATGTTTTAATAGAGTTAGACTTCACTTCTGTCTTTGATTTACGCTTTAACAAGAAGTAGGGCACCTAGGAAATGGGTGAAAATAATCTTATTTTTCCCTTAGATAGGGCTAGTAGCTTAAAAAACTTGGTATGGCTGGAAATACAGCTATATCTCAAGTTGTTTTAAACTTCAGAATAAAATAGCCTCTGCTCATAGCACAGAGCGTAAAGCAGATGTGCGGTAGCTGGTGGGACAGGTGGACACTCTCGCAATGTGTGTTTTGTATTTAGCCTGGAGGCACAGATTCCCTCACAAGGAGGATAGCTTTCTGTGGCACATCCTGCTCCCAGTTGTCATCACACTTGAATGAAGATGTTTACGCCTTCCATCACCACATGTACCATGCCTCTTTGCGCCTGTATTCATGTTTTGTTTTTAATTCTCTAATTAAAAGTTCAGTCCAGGCGGTATGGCTCTGTGGTTGAGCATCAACCTATGAACCAGGAGGTCACAGTTCCATTCCTGGTCAGGGTCCATGCATGATTACATGCTCAATCCCCAATAGGGTTGTGCAGGAGCCAGTTAATCATTGAGTCTCTCTCACTGAAGTTTCTATCTTTCTCTCGCACTCCTTTTCTCTCTGTTCTTATCTAAACTATTTCCTACATTTGCATATGAGATCAATGCTTCTCAAGCGTCTGTATGCAGGATGCATTTAAATGAATTAGTATAAAAATAAAAGACAAAATACAAGGAATAAAAGCCCATTTTTAAATATATATTTTATTGATATTTTTTTTACAGAGAGGAAGGGAGAGGGATAAAAAGTTAGAAATATCAATGAGAGAGAAACAT